TTCAAACAGGGGCACCTGTTAAAAACGAGCTTTACAGTTACAATGTTGTTTTTGTTTTTTAATACCAACTTCCAAGTTTAATAGCAACTTTTAAATTACTATATTTCAAACAGCGATGGCATTTAGGAGTATTCCAGCTTTCTCTCACAGTCCAAAGACATGCATGCTAAGTTAACTGTTGTTTCTTTGACCTACCCCTCTGTGCAAAGCTGTGCTGCCTCTCTTGTCCTTGGCATCTGGCAAGGCACCCTTCTCTAGCAGGAAGTGGACACAGTCAGTGTGTCCTCCGAGAACAGCTAGCATCAGAGGGGTCCTGGATGGGGACAAAAGCAACAAAAAAAAATACACTTTAGCACTGGATGTTCACTCGTCAAGTTAGCTGTAAGCATTAAAGTTTTTTGAAGCTGAATGAAAAAATAAATAAAAATAAAATAAAAATAAAAATAAAAATAAAAAAATAAAACAACTCACTGGCCAAATTTGTCTGCCATGTTAGTGAGATCTCCCTCCTCCCCATAATCAATCATCATGCGCAGGCAGTCAGAGTGTCCATTCACAGCTGGAATGTAATAAGATACAAAAGAACAATTACAAGGGAAAAAACAAAAACAAAACACAAAATCGACTTGTGGGAAAGAATCACAAACATTGCTGTATCAAGAAATCTTCCAGCTCAGATACCTGAAACATGAATTGGAGTCCACATGAGGCGGTTGTCATTGAGGAGACAGGAAGCCCCCTGGGCCAATAGCACCTCCACACAGCGTGCGTAGCCTTTCTGTGCAGCCAAGTAGAGTACAGAACGGCCTGCAGCGTCCTGCATGTCCACATATGCTGCTGTCTCTGTGAGCACACGCAAAGCCTGCCAGTGGCCCTTATCAGCCTGAACGAGCAGAGGAAGGTAGTCACAATTTTGCATTTAGTTAAGATTATGAAGCTGAAGACGAGCAGAAGTGACTGCAAGTGAGTGCAACACTTACAGCAAGATGCAGTGGACTGACTGGAATGCTGCTCTCTATGTCTCCTAGTGCATTAAAGGACATCTCCAAGAGCTGAAAGCAAGGCAGAAGAATTGATGTTGTGTAATTTAGGAAAGAAACTAGTAAAAGAAAATGTTACATAAATGGTCATTGGCCTCATGAACTAATCCCCAACCTGATGCGAAACGTGTGAGATGACTGATTAATCTATGGGCCAAGTTATTTGGGGAGTTCAAAACAGGAAACTCACCAGCTCCAGATTCTGTTTGTTGCCATGGTAAGCTGCATAGTGAACAGCACTGTAACCCTTTGAATTCACCATTGATGGATCAGCACCATTGTCCAAAAGATGCTCCAAGCAGCTGTTATCAGAAGAAGAAAAAAAAAGACATAAAGAAGACATGTAATTTGCCTACAATTAACCGGTTATGGTCAGGTGATGACAAAAAACCAGAACTTACAAGTATGACTCCTTTGCCTCGTCCTCATCATTCTGATGGCTCCCAGAAAAATGACGATCAACTCTGAAACAAACAAGAAATGCTTCCATTTAGTCAACCTTTCCTAAATGATGCTGTGACGTGGTTAGAACTTAACTTCTCAAACTTGATGGTTCATATGGGTCATATATAGAGTCATATTTGTCTGTATAGGCTGACGAGAACAGTTTATCCGATACAGAGGAAAACGTAGTGTCTGCTGTGAGTAGTGCTCAGACCTTAACATGGAGAAACAAAATAATTCTTCCACAAACACATGGCACAAAATACCAGATCCACCTCAACAAGTGTACACCTGCATTTAAAGGGTGCAGGACCGTGAAGACAGCTGGTTTGAAAGAGGAGTAAACGAGGGACCACATCCACTGTGAACAACCATCGTTTAGAGGTGGTGGATTATGACACCACTTATCAGCCACTGATGATACAGTTTTGAGATGCCTTCCCAGGCATTTCAACCCCATCTCACACCTTGCATCAAAGTGTGAGCTGCTGTTTTGGAACACCCAAATACCTAAAACAACCATCACATGTTTGAGAACATGTGATGGTTGACATGAGGTGTTGTACTCCTTGAACACTAAAGTGGCCCTCACATGAGATGACAGTGCCAGCAGTAGCCTACAGCTCATTTAAGTTTGAGACCCCTGCTTTTGGATGAGAGGCAAAACGTCTTCACAAACAAAAAGACATCCAGCTGTTTTCTTTTCAGGCATTCAAGACTACAGTCGCATTTGCTCCCCAGCTGCAAATGAATTTCAAAATACCGTATCTATATTACAGGTTTTTAAAATCAGCCAGCCATTTTTCTGAAATAACAGTTGACTTTTTGACTTGGACTGAATTTGGTAGCTTGTGTTGACTCGGTCTTTTCAAACAGAAAACAGAGAGAAGGAGATTAACAAGTGTCTAACCTGCTGAAGGCTTGAGAGGCAGCAGAATAGTGCAGGGGAGTACAGCCTGTCTGGTCAGGCTCGTTGACCTCAGCGCCAGCGCTCACCAGGGTCACAGTGCACTGGTACCTCCCATTAGCAGCCGCATAGTGCAACGGTGTCCTGCAGACAGAAAAAAAGTCCTCGCTTTGAATTCTAACCTGTGTTGAGTATGCAGGACATGATACTCAGATGCTGTTTAAAACCAGATGATACCTAAACAAGATGAGCGGGACTCACCTTCCCATTATGTCCCTCTTATTCAAGTCGGTACCGCTACTTAAAAGCAAGTTCAGACATTCAACATTTCTGGGAAAAAAAACAAAAAAAAGATCATGAGAATAAATGAAATGGAAGTAAACAATTTAATTTAATGCATGTGCAACATTTCTGCTCATTTTAATATTTTAGTGTTAAACCAGATTCTGCATCTCACCCTCCAGAGGCAGCAGCGTGTAGACAGGTCCTCCCAAAGTTGTCAGGGGTGTTTATGTCAAACCCAGCTGATAGTACATGCTCTTTACTCATAGATGAAACTATACTATACAGCTGACCTGTGGGCCAATGAGCAAACAGCTGGAGGTAACTATCTCAAAGTAATACACAGACACAGATGGTAAGGGATTAGGGTAAAGAAGAGTGCACACATTTATTAAACACACCTGAGGAGAGTAACTTGCGACAACAGTCTGAAAACCCGTACAGCACAGCTAAGTGCAAGGGGAACATTCCATGGATCCCACGTCTGCAAAGAAGAAACAAAACAGTCGATGGTACAAATGCATCTACTTACAACCAAGCGTCTTACATCGTGAAGCATAAACTTTAATGCACCCTCATATTGGGCTATGCTTTAAACCATTTCTATAACCTCACAGTAAGATTACATTACTACATTAGCAACACCACTTAAAGTTGTCTGATACCTGGCCGTGTCTGCTCCGTTGGTCATCAGAGTGCTGATCAGCAGTTCATGGCCGTACTTAGCAGCAACGTGGAGAGGAGTATTGCCATACTTATCCACACAATCAATTTCCCCACCTGACGGAAATCAGAGTACAGGGAGTAAATCAAAGACCCATTAACAGAAGAGAAAGAGACGGTGACATGATCTTTTAATAAAATAAAAATAAATATGCGACAGGACACTCTGTGTTACCATTTTGGATGAGGATCTGAGAGCGTGTAAAGCGTCCGTGAATGGCTGCCATGTGCAGGGGGCTCTTCCCTTCTTTGCTCTGCAGGGGGTAACAAACACATTTCAGGGTAGATCTTATGCATGGGGGGCTTTTTTGCCTTTTTAGATAGTGGAGCAGTGAAGATAGACAGAAAAGTAGAGAGCAAGAGAGAAAGAGGGAAGGCAGCACAGACTTAAACCTGGGCCGGTGCACTCTGGCACTGGGATAAAGGCACCTATAGATTTTTGTTTGATAATTTTCTTCAACAAAAATGTGCAGTAATATTCTTATTAAGGCACTGTAAACTAGAAACTGAGAAATCATAAATGGTAAATGAAACCTTAGGACCTGGATTTCGTTTGGTTCTTTTTTTTCTTAATATTTGTATATGTTGTCAGAATGGCCAAAGGATCGAATAATCGGATCAACCCATCTACAACTATTCCAACTCTGGTTCTTGCAAAACGGCCCTAAATAAAAATGTGGAGTTTCACTACTTTCAGAAGTAGTGAAATAAAGTAAACAAGAAGAAGAACCAAAACAGCTACCTGCTGGTTGACATCTGCCCCGTTGTTGACCAGCAACTCCAGACAGAGGGCACCGTTGGTGGAGACGGCAGCCAGGTGCAGAGGGGTGTAGCCACACTTGTTGGGTTGGTTAACATTAGCTCCATGGTTCACCAGCTCTGTAGCCACAGCTTCTTGCCCCATGTAGCAAGCCACATGAAGCGCAGTGTTTCCAAAGCCATTGGGCTCATCAATCTGACAATAAAACACAGAACAAAACGACATCAGAATGTGCCAAAAGCCTGAAAAATAAATAAAGTGCGCCCTGAGCTGCTCTCAGACGCTCACAATTTATAAACCAGACATGAGGGAAGACTACTTTGGCTTTGCTGAAGGTAAATATTTCTTGCATAGTTACTCACATCTGCCCCCATCCTAAGCAGGTACTTTACAATTTCAATGTGACCACTTGCAGCAGCAGCATGGAGAGGTGTGTAGCCCTGTTTGTCCTTGCAGCTCTTGTCAGCACTGCGTGACACCAGTAACTTCACAACCTCTAGATGCCCTGTGGATAACACAAGAAAGACACAGTTCATTACAAGTTCTACTTATTTCAACAGATTAAAAGCCCAGGCCAGCACTTGTCATCACTCCTGTAAGTGCTATTTGGCAAGAAAAGTAAAACTTGCTTACCCAGGTAAGCAGCACAGTGGATAGGCTGTCTCTCCTTCTTATCGATGGCACTCAGGTTGGACCCTTTGTTCAGCAGCAGCTTAACCATCTGCAAGACAAATTGAAGGAACTTTATTGCAAAGAGAACACTCTATGTCCTTCAAAAACAAAGCAAATCACTTAAGCCTCACCTCCTGGAAACCACTCTGCGCCGCATGGTGCAGGGCAGTCCTGCCACTGCGATCTGCCATGTTCACGTTGCTCAGCTGGGTCAGCAGGGCCTCTGCGCAGCGCGAGGCACGGTTGGCAGCAGCCACATGCAGAGGCGTCTGCCAGAACTTGTCACGTGCATTTGCGTCAGCTCCGCGCCTCAGCAGCAGACCCACTGCCCTCTGGGAAGAGGGAAGCAATCACCACAGCTTAAGGTGTATATCACATCTGCAGCTTCCCACATTTAATTTAGTGCAGTTCATAAGTGTGCAAATCTAAATAAGAATTATAATCTCTGTATTTTAATACATAAAAGACTTAGATGATGAGGTCATCTGACTGGGAAATCATCAGTCTTAAACGAAAAAAAGGAAATACATTGCTTACGTCATTCCTGGAAGCAGCTGCCCTGTGCAAGGGGGTCAACCATATATGGTCTTTAGCATTTACACTGGCACCTGTGATACAGAAACAGAAACACTATTACATACTATATTACATAGTAGATTTTAATTATATTTCAGGTGATACAGAAGTAGAGTGAACCAAGAATGAGCAAGATTATTTATGTGGAACAATGATCAGGTGTTAGGATTACTTCGCTAACAGAGGTGCCCAATACTTGCACAGATAGATGGATGAAATTCAGTCACCTGATTCAATGAGGAGGTCCATTATATGGACGTCTCCCACACAGGCAGCAGCATGAAGTGGCGTACGACGCTCTTGGTCCTGATATGCGGGGAAAAAAATAAAAGGGATTTTTTTTAATGTTTCGGGGTAACGTCCTTCAAAATCATGATCATGGTAACTGAATCTGTTTCATACCAGTGCATTGACATCCTCCTTTTTGTGCAATAATAGTTGAACTTCTTCAGCATTGCGACTGAAGATGGCCTGGACCAGAGGAGGCTGCAATACAGGAACATCAGTCAAATTACCGCAAAAAATAACGTTGCATAAAATTACGTGCAGCCGGAGCGCTGACTCTTATACGACCATCACACATCATCTACGTCTCATCTGAGGAGGTTAAACCATCGTTAAAGCCGCCAACTGCGCAGTGGAGAGGTTAAATGTACTCCCGTGCCATTAAGTGTTTCACTGAATACTTTTACTGTGTGTAACTGAATGGGTTTCTTGTTTGCTTCCAGCAGATACACCAAGCCTTTGGCTGAGGCCTATAGGCCATTTTTACTTACGTCAGCTAGCCAAATGGCTTCTGTTAGCTAATTCTGCAACAGAGCTGGCCCTGACCCAGACCAGGGCCTAAACTACACCATCAAAAAAATAAAACAAAAAAACCCTCACACATTAACATTTAAAAGACGAACATTGCTAATCTTTTCAAATAATACCATTACCATGCGAATATCCGCCTAAATATGCATGCACCCGCCGCGAGCTAATAATGAAAGCAAGCCGTTCGGCGGAGAAGACGTAGGATGTTGCGCACAAGAGCAGAGTCTCTCCCAGCAAATAGACTGCGCCACAGCACAAATACGGAGCGCTTTCTTTCAGCGTACCTGGTCTGCAATATTGAGTACTCCCATCTCCCAAACTCAGCCAGGACGGAGCTCCTTCATGAGGATAAAACTTCGAGGTATATTGTGGTGCGCTACTGTGTTCTCTTCTTAGACTACACCCATAGCTGATTGCAAACAGAAATACGGTCTCGGTCTGTCACTGTTGTTGTCTGTATCCAGTGTCTGGTCTGCTGATACTGGCTACGACTGTGCGGGTCCGCCTACAGGCGTGGCGGTCTGTTTTCGTCTCCTCGGGTGAAATGGCGACACCGTGCGGCAAGAGAACGGTAAAACATCCCATGTTCACCCGGCGGTGTGACGTCTGTGGCATGGAAACTTGATTCTGCCACCGAAAAAAAATGTTTTTAAACTTGGAACCTACAAGTTAAAATTTCGGTTAACTTACTCAGTAAGTCGAGATTTCAACTTAGCTCTGCCTGACAAAAGAAAAAAAAATCCAACCACTGAAAAACAAAAAAGTTCCACTAATTCCAGGTTATTTCAAACTTTCGACTTAAGAACTCAAATTTTAAAGTAAATTTCTCAATTGTGAGTTATTTTGAAATAGTAGCCAACTCTTTATGATAAATAAATAACCTGACATTTTGAGATATTATCCCAAAATTTTGAATTATGGATGGTAAAAGTGTTCTATTTTGGGGGGGTTGGGGGATTTTTTATTCAATGGTTGAAGAAACCCCCCCCCCCCAAAACACCAGCTGTGGTGGTTACAGGTCAAATACAATAACACTTTATCACATTGATTAGTCATGTATTCCTTTTCTATCACTATAACTTAAAACATTCATTCCATCATATTGTTCTACCCGCTAACTGGCTTTTGGCTGTCACTGCAGAGCCATATCCATGCAAATCTCCATTTCAGTTTACTTTTTGTAAAACTAGAGCCAATAAAAAGTAAGACATTTCCATTTCCATGTGTGAGAGTGAAACTGAAGTGAAAAATCACAGATAAAAAAAAAGTAATGTAGGCCTTGGGTGTAATAATTAAGATCAAGTTAAATATCCAGATTTGCTGAATATTCGTCCCCTATAACATCAGTTAATGTTGTGGAACAAAGTGTTCTTTAGTAATAAATGATCCACTGCTACTTTTTTTTCATGAGTTGTCACTCCGTTTTTATTCTTTTTATTTGTTATAGTGAGTTGATAAGGCGACAGCAAAAATAAAGAAAAAGAAAAAAAGGCTACAATGGTAAACAGTAAAATAAGCCTATAAATTATTGACTGTTATTTTTTATTTGGCTTGAGGACCTTTGTTTTTAAACGTGATCTATCTCCCCTCTTTTATCGTTCTCACTATCACTGCCTCTGTTCCTTGCAGCTTCACTGTTACTGTCTCTATCGCATTCACACACTGTGTTCTGTCTCGCTTCTACTGACTTTTATTCTTCTTCTCTCCAGTGCTACTCTCCATCTGCTTCCTACTCAGACTACAGATGTCTTCCACAAACAACATATTCCTCGGAAGACTGGAGATTCCTCCCTGACCTCATCTGTCAACCTGTCCATCACCAATGCAAAAAAGAAAGATCTCAGAACCTCACCCCCACCTTCATCCCATCTGCCACTCCTACCACACACATCCCTACTGTTGTCGTCCACATATATGTGGGCTATTGGATAAAAGATGTAAGAGAAATATAACTTATAAAATATTAACTGTGTTTCTTTAGGGGTCATTTTAATCAAAGTTAAAAAAAAAACAAAACAAAAACAAACAAACACTTGAACCCTGTTTATACAGTCTCACAGCATTTTGTTCAGGATATTTAAAAAAATATATATTGTTATACTAATATAAAAGTGTTTACGTAAGTTAAATAAAATAAAATAAAATAAAATACAAATATTTTTTCCCCGCCGTTAACCTCCTGCAGAGTAGGGGGCGGCATTTCTTCTCAGAGCTGTTGGGCAGAATCGATCACAGAAGAAAGGAACAATTTGTCCCACCGGCGTTTTATTTAGCAGCAGAAGGTCGTTCGCAGCTGGCAGCAGTTTGGCAATATTTATAGCCATAAAGTGACGTAAATAATTTAACTTTGTTTCAAGTTTGGAACTCGACGCGTGGAGTAATGTGAGTATTACGTTAAAAAAAACAGCGGAACGTAGCCATACGTCGTGATTGGTTGGGCTGTTGGAAATCTTGCTAGCTAACGTTAGCAGCTGACTGCCGTAACTAACGATAGTTACGCTCACAGTTCGGAAAGCGGCTGTGCTAACGCTACGTGTTCATTAATATACCCGCACCGAAGCAGCGTGCAGGTTGGACTGGACCCTTGAATCTCTGTGCCCTCGGTCTTAAAGCAGACCCCGGGCTAGCTCGACAGACCCAGGATCTCCCTCTCTTGAAGCGGAGAGGCTGACTTGATGGCAGCCTCGACCGGTGCCCGGAGATTACCCATGGGTGTTCGGACGTTCAGTGACTTTCTCCAGATCGCCACTGTGGGCTCCCCTCGCTCGTGTCGCACGGCGGTGCAAAGAGGATGCCTGCGACAAAACATCAGGTGAGCCTGTCGGGGAGTTACTGGAGGCTGTTATTATTATGGTTAACAGCACCGAGCTGGTCATTCAGTACAGAGGGACTGACGCTCTGCCGCCACTGAGGGCGGACGATATATAACGGGAAGGTCACAAGATAATGTTATCAAGCTCCATAATTCTGGTTTCTTATCTTTAAAGTGTGACCAGCCTCCATTTGAGAAGCAACTGCTGATTAGTGTAACAGAACTACCAATAACCAGGACTGTCTCACCAGGTAAAGGCAGCTGTTAACAACTGCCTTCGACATGGGTTCTGCAGTCCAGTCTGCTTTAATGTTTTTGTAGAATATATACATAAACATAAATGAAAACAAGCAAGTTAATCGTTATAATTGTGCCATGTTGCTGGTGAAAACAAATTACAAGAAGCTAACTTGATATAGAAGGATATTAGCTACGTTTGCACTGTTGTATTGACTTCACATAACTGTAAAATCACAACTATAAACCACTCAACTTTGTTCTTTCATGCATGAAATATAAACATTACAGAATACCCCCACAGTTATTTTATTCCATAAGTGAACTGCTGAAAATAAGACCTGAAGAATGGTGTACAAAAGACAATAGCTCAATAAGGTAAAGATTACAAAGGTAGCACAGGAAAAAGCGTAATAAAAATCTAAGTAAAATAACCTAACGCCACTTAAAAAGCTTGATATTTTCTATAAATTCTAGTTATCATTACAGTTAATTCAAATATTTTGTAACTCCTAGTTTTAATTATTAGTTTAGTTTTAGTAATTATAATAACCTTGGTGCAGATGGTGGCTTATCCATAATGGATAACATGTTTCCAAAATGTGGAGAACAGTTTCCAAAATAGCCTGTTTGTGGTAGCAGTGAATAGTATGATGCATTGACTTAATGAATGAATGTTTTCATGTTTTGGGAAGCACACACACATAATCACTTGGATTTACTAGTGATCACAACCCATTTGATCAGGTTGACCTTGATCGAGGTAAACTTTGTGTTAATGGATCTTTAGATGAAAGAATAAAATAAATCACTGCTTCACTGCTCTTTAACTTGATTCCAACAAATGGCAAACAAATTTTCTGTCATAACCTATGATGTCTTATGGTAAAGTTATATAAAAAGTTGAAAACTGGTGCTTCATTTAAGTGGAATATTTTATTCACGAGGATCTAATGTTTCGTGTCATAATTTGATACAGCAATACTTTAATTTGCTTATTTAGTTTGATCCTTAACTCTCAGTATGAGGAAAAAATGTTGCTCACCCCTATCCTACAGGCTACCTTCCAGAAAGCACAAAGCTAATTTGTTCAATCAGAGCAGGTAGGTGTCACCTTACAGCTTTTTGCTATTCACAAAAAAAGACCAGACGTGGAAAATACCAGCATGCTCTCAACACTGACCTTTCATAACTCTCTGGTCCATCTGCGCACTCACTGACTGTTGGAACTGGAAAGCAGTGGACCTATTTTGTTGCAGACTGCACTCTTTCTAGATAGGGGCTTATGGCACATCACTTCAACACAGATTCTAATTACCTTTCCAGACACTTGTCGTCATGTGGCATTTTGATGACAAGAAGTCCCAGGGTGCTTTGCCTTCAAGATTGTGACACAATGACAGCGGTTTCCCAAAGCAGAAGCTTCATCAGCCTCACCAACAAAAGGAAGGAGTACTCTGAACGTAGAATACTTGGGTAAGTATTGATGAGCCTTTTTATAATCATAAATTTGATCATTAATACAAAAAATTTAATTAAGAGGATATTCCTGTTACAGGTATTCTATGCAGGAAATGTATGATGTTGTGGCCAACGTTGACGACTACAAGCACTTTGTGCCTTGGTGTAAGAAGTCCCAGACCATCATGAAAAGAGCAGGTCACTCCAAAGCCCAGCTTGAAGTGGGATTTCCTCCAGTAATGGAAAGATACACATCTATGATCACTAATGTTAGACCTCATCTAGTCAAAGTAAGTAATGGTAGAAAAATATTATCCCAGTCCTTTTGAATTGTGATATGTGATTTTTAATGCTCCATCTGTTGCTAGAATTTGTTTATATATAAACTATATGACTGAAACACAATTTCTGTGTTTTACAACTCTTAATTATTGTCTTTGTTTTGGTTATTTGTAGGCAGTGTGTACAGATGGAAAGCTCTTCAATCACCTGGAGACGATATGGCGCTTTAGTCCTGGCATTCCCGGTTACCCTCGTACCTGCACCGTAGACTTTTCTGTAAGTAGCCTATGCTTCACTTTAGCCTGTAGCTCACTTTAACTTTAACTGCTTGTGTCTACTAAACACCACATGGGATAGATGATACATCAGAAGACTGATATCATTAAAGTCTGTATTCATGCTCATTAGTTATTGTTTTTTATGCTGTGAAAAAGCACAAATGTAAAAATTACACTTTGTGGTTTTGTGAGTGGTTACATGTGGGAGACCACCTGTGGAAGTGTTTCCCAAACATTTGATTTACCTGTGTTATATAATTTTTAATATTACTACTTTTTGCAATTGTCAGTTTTTCCTTATATCTATTCAAGAGATGATTTACTGTTTGGTTGGCAGTCTCCAACTTCTTATTTTAAAAGGTCAGTTGCTTCTTATCAGCAGCTCCCGCCCCCTTCCTGTCTAATTTGT